CGGCTAGGTGCATTAATCACCCGTTTGTACACCGCCTTCCTCTTGTGATTGCAACACTTCTGCCGTGACACGGGCGACGGGCAATCACAAATCAATACAGGCAACTCACAAGGTCAAACGCCGTTCTAACTTGCCACCCGGAATGGCCATCATGCAGCTGGGCGCATGCTCCTTGACACTGGCAAAGTGGATGTCAACGCTAGAGACCACAGACAGGCGTCGGCATTGTTGATGGCTGCAGAAAGAGGACATGTAGGCATTGTTCAAACTCTTCTCCGGGTTGGCGAGACTCCAAGTATCTTTGAGGGGAAGTCAACAATCTTTCCGGCTGCCGCACAGTTGTACCATTCGGTTGTCGGAAACGCTTCCGATACGGCAAGAAAAGTTGATTTAGATTCTCGAGATTGCAACGGGAATTCGGCATTGTTATTAGCCGCTAAAAACGGACATCTGAGGGTTGTGAAGGATCTTCTTTGTAAGGGCAAAGTGGACGTCAACTCCAAAAACAATGCACACGAGTCTGCACTGTTACTGGCCTCTCGAAATGGCTATATAGAAGTTGTTCAGACTGTTCTCTCTCGTGATAGAGTGGATGTGAATGCGAAGGATTTTCAGGGGAATTCTGCAACCCTGCTGGCCGTTAAAAACGGACATCTGAGAGTTGTGGAGGATCTTCTTAATACCGGCAAAGTGGACGTCAACTCTCAAAACGATAAACACGAGTCTGCACTGTTACCGGCCTCTCGACGTGGCTGTATAGAGGTTGTTCAGACTCTTCTCGCTCGTGGTGGAGTGGACGTGAATGCGAAGAATTATCATGGAGATTCTGCAATCATGCTGGCCGCTGAAAACGGACATCCGAGAGTTGTGGAGGCTCTTCTTGACACCGGCAAAGTGGACGTCAACTCCAAAAACATTGCACGCGAATCTGCACTACTGCTGGCCTCTGAGGGTGGCCATATCGAGGTTGTCAAGGTTCTTCTCTCTTGTGATGGATTGGACGTGAAAGATTGTGATGGGGATTCTGCAATCATGCTGGCCGCCAACAACGGACATTTGAGAGTTATGGAGGCTCTTTTTGATACCAGCAAAGTGGATGTCAGCTCCAGAAGCTTGCGATTCAAGGCTGCACTATTGCTGGCCACTTCAAAAGGTCACCCAGACGTCGTCAAGATTTCTGTTGATCGTGGCAGAGCGGACGTGAATTTGCGTGATACATCTCCTCTGGGCATGCCCGCATTTCTATATGCCATCGAAGCAGGACATCTGGAACTTCTTCAGGTACTTGTGGACATTGCTCGAGTGACCGTGAAATCTAAGCACGGAGACGCAGGTACAGCCATCGCGTTGGCCATTCAAGAAAAAAATGTTGAAATTATCAGCTACCTTCTCAAAACTAGTCAGCTTTCTAAGCTTAGACCGCCCGAAGCTGATGGGCTATCTAGGTTGGGATTTGGCAAGGCTTCAAAGGATACATGGCCGCCCAGTTTTCAATGCAACGAAACGTTCAATCATCGAAGAATATGGATATATAAATAACACGAGCTCTTCAGATTCCCCCATCTAGTTTAATTCCAGTTTTTCCGTCGAATAACATAATATTAAAGATTTGGGTTACTCTTTTAATCTGTAGCTCGTTTATAGCTGTAGTGGGGATCAAGACAAAACAGCTCGAATAAATGCATTCTTCAGAGAGTTATAGAATCTAAATATGTAGCGGAAAGCGCCAATCGCGACGGCGGCTACCCTCGCTGCCCAAAATGCCGACGCTACGTTTCGCCGACTCGCAGTTGCTCCAAGGCGTGCAGACCGCCTCGCACGTCGTCTCCCCGGACGGCACCACGCCCTCGTCAAAGTAGCGACGCACAACGGCCCTCGTGCAGTCCGTCGGCGGGTGCGCGCTAAACACGCAGTGGCCCATGGCGTCCTGGACGAGCAAGCCGGCGCCCGGGTACATTTGCGCGGCCTTGCGCGCGGCGCGCAGCGGCGTGACAGGATCGAGGCGGGTCGAGAGGAAGAGCACGGGGGCGGCGGGACGGCCGGGCTGGGGCTGGGGCTCGGACTCGGGCTCCTGCTCCTCCTCCTCGGGGGCGGAGGGGGAGGCGGCGTTGTCGGACGGCGCGGGCGTGGTAAAGGGACCGCGAAACTGCCACTTGGCCCGCGCGCGCCAGCTGGAGCACGCGAGGCGGATGTCGCTCCAATAGGCGCCGGCGACGGACGACTGGGCGAGCTGCTTGGCGACGTAGGCGCGCCAAAAGGCCGTGTCGCGGCCGGTAATGTCCTCGCCGTCGCCGCACAGGACGGCGCTTTGCGCGTCAGGGAAGTCGTCGGCCGAGGCGCTCCAGTTGCCGCCGCCGCCGCCGCCGCCGCTGTCACCGCCGTCGCCGCTGTCGCCGCTGCCGCTGCCGCCGACGACGGGACAGGCCTCCTCGAACGAACCGCCAGACATGGGGGCCACGAGATCGTACAGCGCCGTGGTGTTGCCGCGCATGGTCGCGTCGACCAGCGAAGCCAGCTCTTTGAAGAGAGTCAGCGGCTCGTACATGGCGCCGAGCAGGAGCGTGCGCAGGTCGCGCGACTGCAGCACAACAGCAGCCCGGCCCTTTTTGGTCACAAGAAAAGGGGCTTGGTCGAGGCCGTCGACCCAGTCCCAGAAGCGCCGGCCAATGTCGGCGCCGGAGCGGTCGCCGCTGCGATGGAGAGGGCAAACGTCGTGGCCAGCGTCGAAGCAGCCCTGGAAGAAGAGGTCCGCGATCTCGTCAGTGTCTACAGTGTTGGTGAGCCAGCCCTAGTTTTCGAGTTAGTCATCGTGTTTGTAAAAGAATGAAAAAGAAGAAAAAAAAGAAAGAAAGAAATGGGGCTCTTTAGAAGTTGAGGAGGGACTTGCATCGCCGTTTACATAGTCGTCAATATCAGCGACGCCGTCTAGCAGCACCCGACCAATGCGTTCGGGAAACATGGAAGCAAAGTAGTTTCCAAGAACCGTGCCATAAGAAAAGCCGAGATACTGCAGGCGTGGAAGATTCGTCTGTGCCTCTTCCGTACCAGAAGAGCCGCCGCCGCGCAGCTGCATTTGGTGCCTCCTTTTGGTGGCTTTCCCGCCCCCTTTCGAATGCTTCGCGTTGTACTCGTCAATCTTTTCCACCACAGCCAGCATATCCCTCGCCACGCTCGTCGTACCCACGTACCGGAGCAGATCCCCATTACACTCCCCGCAGCGGTTGCCCTGAATCGTCTCCAGCCCCAGCATGTACGGCAGCGCCGCCGGGCCACCACTCACGCCGCCGCTGCCGCGCGCCTTCCAAATGGCCGCTGAACGCGGCAGCCGGCCTTCCGGGTAGCAGTTGACCTGGGGCGTGGTGCGGCCGACGCCGCGGGGGTCAAACGACACAAACTCAAAGTGTTTTTTGCCCGGCGTGTCCACCATGTCGCGCATCTTGGCCACGGCGCCCCGCAGGTGATCCACGCCGGACCCGCCCGGGCCGCCCGGGTTGGACAGGACCGGCCCGGCGTAGGTGGCATCGTCGATGCTAACGACGGCGTCGGACTTGAGCAGAGCAAGAGCGACCGTCTTGTTTGAGGATTCGTCGAGCCAGTCGAGCGGCAGAAGCAGGCGCGCGCAGTGAAAATTGTCGTAGCAGTCGTGGTACTCGAGGTCGTGGCTGGGCGTGATGGTGTTCCAGTCAAACTCGTCGGCAGCGGCAGCGGCCAGGCCCAGAGCGGCGCAAAAGTGTAGCTTCATCGCAAGAGCGGGCCAGACGGAAGCAAATATTTAACTCGATGAGGAGCAGATCCCCCCCCCCCCCCCACGATCGGTAACAGGGAAGGGGTTGTTGGGCTTTTATGAGGCCAAGGGTCTTTTCCCCCGCTCACCCGGGGGGGAGTCATCACCGTCGCAGTCTCAGCCTCGAAAGTTGTTGGGCAGCAACACAAATTAGTCATGGTCATTCGAGGCAATTTTATTAGGTGTCAACTGATCGTGGTGCAGCTGATCCATGCCGAGACAATCATGCGGGGACCAGAAAGGAAGCCCACGTGCCGCGCCCTAGAGACCGGCATTTACAGTATACTGAGTTCTGATGGCACGATGGCTAAGTCTTGTATGCCACGCTGGTACCGACAAGGGGGGGGGGGGGGGGCGACTTACCTACAGGACCAAGATGTATTCCATCAGTCACGGGTTATATTGTGCTGGCATACAATACATACACACCACACCCAATATAGGAAGAGCGCCTACTTTGTATTACTAGCCACGTTTCTTACTCTAGTTGCTTGGACCGTCTTTCCCGGCCATTCGGTCGGTTGTGCCCGGCTTACGACAAGCCTTACGCAATCAGGGTTCAGCTCCTGCACTGCCCGCATCTCCTCCCGCAGCCTTGTTAGACAGTGGGACAGGTAGATACGCAGAAAGATATCCGAGACGATGCGTCAATCCAAGATTTTCGTAGATTACATCCATTAAAAAAAAGATTGCATTACCCGTCGCAATGGTAGTCACTGATTTCAAAGGAGAACAACAGCCTGACAAGAAGGCGCAGCAAAACGTCGCATCAAGCCGTTCTGATTATCGTCAGACCGTGCCCTCCGAGGCTGAAGAAGAAGAACAAGACACCTCTCACAAGATGCACGAACTCCCTCCTCCTTATGACGAAGCCACCTCCTCCATTCACAACAACCATGACCCTTTCTCGTCCAACGCCGGCAGCAGAACCAGCCCGCAAGACGAGTCGTCGGCGCGCATGATCCGCCGCCCACACAGCAGCAACAGCAACAGCAGCAGCAGCAGCAGCAGCAGCCGCGGCGGCGGCGACAGCAACGACATTGACCGGGACGGCTACCAGCGCGCGGCAAAAATGACAATGACGTGGGACGAAAAGGAAGCCAGCGGGTACTGGGCCAGGCACGAGCACGAGACGGGCGCGTGCTGCTCGCGTCGCGGCGGCTGCGTCTTTTCCGACCGCGGCGGCTGCTGCTTCTCGGACCGCGAGGCCTGCTGCTTTTCAGATCGTGACGGATGCTGCTTCTCGGACCGCGATGCGTGCTGCTGCTCCGAGGACGGCGGGTGCTGCTTTGCGGTGAGCGGCGGGTGCTGCTTCAGCGGGACGAGGGCCGGGGGGAGGAGGAGGTGGAGGCCGTTGGTGGTGCCGTCGACGGGGACGCTGTTCAAGGGACTTTGTTGAGACTGGAGTTTTTTTTTTTTTTTTTCTGCATTTTTCCTTTTTTTTTCTCTAGTTATACTTTTAATATGAATACATTCACTGGATCAGTTCCAGATATGGCATCAGCGCTCAAGTGTCTGTCTCGGTTTAGAAACGCGAGCTGAAGACGTAAGAAGCTATTCAATCAACTTACCCAGATATGGGTAGGGCTCATCTCTCCGCATCAACAAAGTCTTTTACTCGAGTCATGTCTTTATTGTATGCAGATTGCATCGCTTCCATCGCTGTGCCGTTTCTTCTACCTCGTCCTGCTCAAGCCAACGTTGATGCAGCGCCGTCATCCGTACCACCGCCGTCAAGACATGTGCCATGTGCGTCACCCTCATACAAAACAACACGCATCCATATTTAATGCGCCTTTTCGATCCGGAGCCAACTCAGGTTTAGCGCGAGATGCAGCGTCTGCATCCAAGCGTTGCCTGTCTCAGAAGATCAGCTTGCTCATTTCAAAGCAGCGTTTTCGAGACCCCACGCCGCAGCACAGAGAGTATGACGCCATCATGCATAGCCTCGATAAAAGCAGTCGCTTACTGTTGGGAGCATCGAGAGTGAGAAATGACTGGTGTGCCAGCCATGATAACAATGGCTGTGATGGAGTTTGGTACAGTCTCTTTGGGTTCTGAGCGCTGCTAGTGTTGTTGCAATTGGCCACGTTTTGTGACTCGACCTGCAGAGCTGGTGGCAAGCTGTTCACTCGAAAAAAAGTCTTCGAGGCTAAATTCCATTTCAAATTTTGAATGTACGCGAGGAGACTTGAATATGTGCCGTAGGAGGAATGTATGAATCAATGAAATGTGCTTGCTAATTAGAGCAGTCGCGCTGATGCAGACTAAATGCATGCAGCAAAGGGATTAGATGCCATGTTTCTTTTTTGTACCTCCCTCTTTCTATCCTTCTCTCCTTGCTTACTTTTCTTTTTGCCCTCTCTCTTTACTCTGCAGCTTCCATCCGGACCAAAACGTAGACAAAGTGCGTGCTGCCCTCGACGACGGAAAAGGCCTCTCCCGCCGCCACGAGCATGGCTGTCTCGGGCTCCCACACGGCGCGAGCCGCAGCCGCAGCCTCGGCGCCATCGCCCTTGCTCTCCACCTCGACGGCGGCACTCGACAGCGGCAGCACCACTGCCACGCAGTCGTCTGGCGTGGGCATGGGGTGGCCCTGCTCCAGGCGAAACGTGTCTGGATGCTTGTCGAGAATGGTGGTGCTGGTGATGCGCTTGCCGCGTCTGCCGGCCCAGACATTCAGCTCCTCTGCCTAAGTTCCCAGTGAATAATATCAGTAAAAAAAAGAAAAAATGATGATTTGACAGCGGACTAGACCACATGGAAAGTTGAAATATTTTTACAAACTCACCTTTTCAGAGAGCGCAATATCGAGATAGTGGGCGCAAGCGGGCGACAGGCCGTAGGAAAAGACACCGTTGGCCTGCTGCGACGGGCCCGTTCTGACGCCCTCGGCGAGAATCTCGCGCGCAGCAGTCTGCTTGCCCTCGAGAGTCTCGCGGCGATTCAGGGTGAGAAAAGCGGGCACCGCCATGATGGACAAACGACGAACCGGGCTAGTTGGATGGATGAAGACGGTTTAAATGGCGCGTGTTTGAGTTTTTTTTCCGTGGTGGACTAGAAACAACGGCACGACGGCACGACTGGTAGCTTCAGAGAACAAGGTATCCGTCGCTGGTTTTTTTTTTTCAGTTGGCGGCTGAAAAATAGAGTTGACTATTATGTGCACGGAAAACGAACACCCCTTCGTATACTTAGATTAAAGTGCGGGGAAGAAAATGGGACGGAATGAGCTTCCCGTGATGCGCGCCTCGCCTCGCGGCATCGGCCGGTTCCACATGTTATACATGAAACCTCTCACGACTGTAGCTAGTTTCAACTAGAGCGACAGCTTGCTCGCGTCAAAAATAATTATCAACTTCCTCTTTGTGGACAGAATGGAGTCATGCCTGAACTCAGCGTTATTTAAGGCGACTTGCGGCAAAGTAAATTCGGCAGGAGAAATATCGTCTATGGCAGTACGGATTAGTTCTTGACATTATGCAGGAACTTCCTAGGACGGGGCGGATTAGTCATTAGGGAGGTCTGCCA